GCCATCCTAACTGGGGTGCGATGGTATCTCAGTGTGGTTTTGATTTGCATTTCCCGGATGCTGAGTGATGTTGAGCATTTTTTCATATGACTGTTGGCCATTTGTATATCTTCTTTAGAGAAATGCCTGCTTAGCTCTTTTGCCCATTCTCAGTTTGCTTTTGATTTGCATTTCCCTGATGCTTAGTGATGAGCATTTTCATGTACCCATTGGCCATTTGTAGGCGTTCCTTGGAGAAATATTTATTCAGCTCTTTTGCCTGTTTTTAAAATTGAATTTTTTTTTTTTTACTGTTAAGTTGCTTGAATTCCTTGTGTATTCTATATAGTAAACCCCTTGTCACATGCATAGTTTGCAAATATTTTCTGCTGTTCTGTAGGTTGTCTTTTCATCGTGTTATTTCTTTTGCTGTGCAGAAGCTTTTTAGTTTGATATAATATCGTTTGTTTATTTATTTATTTATTTATTTATTTATTTATTTATTTTTGCTTGTGCTTTTGAGTCTTATTCATAAAGTCTTTGCCCAGTTCTATGACCTGATGAGTTTTCCCTAAGTTTCCTTCTAGGAGTTTTATAGTTTCAGGTGTTATATCTATGTCTTTAATTCATTTTGAGTTGATTAATGTATATAGCATGAGGTATGAGTCTAATTTCATCATTCTATATACAGATATCCAGTTTTCCCAGCACCATTTATTGAAAAGGCTGTCCTTTCCCCAATGTATGTTCTTGGTGCCTTTGTGAAAGATCAGTTGGCTGAAAGTATGTGGAATGATTTCCAGATTCTCTATTCTGTTCCATTGGTCTATGTGTCTGTTTTAATGCCACTACAATGCTGTTTTGGTTACAATAGCTTTGTAGTATAATTTGAGGTCAGGTAGTGTAATGCCTCCAGCTTTACTTTTCTTGCTCAGGATTACTTTTGCTATTCAGGTTCTTTTGTTGTATGATATGAATGCTAGGATTGTCTTTTCTATTTCTGTGAAGAAAGTGATTGGTATTTTGATGGAGATTGCATTGAATCTGTAGATCACTTTGGGTAGTATGGACATTTTCATAGCATTAATTTTTCCAATTCATTGTCCTTCCATCTTTTTGTGTCCTCTTTCACTTCTTTCAGCAGTGATTTATAGTTCTCATTGTAGAGATCATTCACCTCCTTTTAAAAATTTACTTGTAAGCATTTTGTTTTATTTATTCTTTTTTTGGTAGCAATTGTAATTGGTCTTGCTTTCTTGATTTCTTTTTCTGATAGTTTGTTGTTGGTGCATAAAAATGCAGCTGAGTTTTGTGTCTTGATTTTATTTATCTATATTTTTATTGAAGCATAATTAATTATACATATATTTGGGCTACAGTGTTGGCTACCATCACCTGTGTACAACATGTATTGATCAAATCAATATTGTTAACATATTCATTATTCTTTATACCCCCTACCCAATCTCCCCTCAACACCCCCCCCCCCCCCCCCCC